GGGGGGGGGGGGGGGGGGGGGGGGAGGAATCCGTACGCGAGGTCTAGGCGCATGTGGGGAAAGGTCTTAAAACGGAAGGGTGACATACGGGGTAGGAAAATATACCTGAAGTTTTAGTCTCCCAGCTTTCCTGGTTGCTAAGATGAAAGCGGGTGACAAAATGCACTCGCTTCAGAACACACACAGACGGCCTCTGGACAATATGCGTTTTTGATGGCTGTAGCAGCGCCGTAGTAGTTCAGAGAGATGAACTTAGCAGAGATACTCGGAAATATTCCGAGAGGTAACGCATGCCAATATTGACCACCTGCTGACAGTGCTGCCGTTGACTCCTTCTTTCAAGAGTTGCTTATAAGCAAATTTAGCAGTTCATTTTTCCATATTCATGCCAAATTCAGCAGTACCAATAGAGCCTTGTTCCTAACTTTACAAACATAATTCCTGGATCTCTGTCGTATCAGTTCAGAGAGATGAACTTTACATTTGTTGTAGCATTTTCGCATAATTTGTTTACAGGACATCCGACAGCCAAATTCCATTCTTCGCGGATATGTTCCTGATTATTGTCATCGTTACATCGATTGGCAGCGTTGTGCTATACATTGCAGTATATGCTATGACTCGGAAAAATGTCCGATCTGCACGAAAAATACAAATGGTCTGAAGTTTATGAATGAAATATACCTTTCTTATAAAAAGTGAAACAAAGACGGAAAACCACAAACTTGGTGAACTATTGGTTTACCTCATGTTTTGCTGCTCAAGTGGTGCTATTTCCGGTATATTAAATTTGATGTTTTGATAAGTTCCACTCATAGTCTGGTAATCGCCAACTACGCAACTGCCATTTTTCCAGTTGCTGTCTGACTGGATGGATCGGAAAAGGCTTGTACTGTGCTACACAATACTGTTATAGATTTCTTGTAAATTTTTTTCCTTAAATTATTTATTCAGTTCGTCCAGCGGAGGTTAGAATTACCGCTATTTGCTCATTTGTATGTGCAAAAATAATTCTG